CGTCCGGCTCGCGCGCTGCGGCCACACCGTGCGCTATAATTCATGTCGCCTGCTGGAAACGCCACTGGGATCTTCATCGGCGGAAGGGCCCCGGTATGGCGAGTCTCGATTGTTAGCTCTTTCGGATATTCCGCCGGGATATTCCGCCGCTGCACAACGATCTTTGCCAAGCGAGCAAATCGATAACGTCAAACTCGAAGAGAAATTACATTGTGTAATAGAGAGAGAAAAAAAAAAGATTTTATACGAAAGTAAGTATATAAAATCAATTCTTCCTGTAGGATTTTAATATATTCCATTACGTATATAGATTTAAGGGAGGTTGAGATTTCAGATAAAAATATTGATCTTTCTGCAGAGCTAACTTAGACAGCTGGAGGATAATGTAAACGTATTCGCAATTTGTGTAAAACTTCGAAATTAAATTATGCTGCACTTGTGTGTTATGACAAGGCAGAGAATTTTTGATAAAATCAACGAGCGAATTGAAAATATCAATTTGAATAAAATAAATCTTCTCAAATCTCCATATATAATAAAATATATATATATGGAGATTTGAGAAAATTTCTTTTTTAAATAAAGATCGATCTTTCTATAAAACTGGCTGACAGTTTAGATAATGTAAATTCGCAATTTCTCATAGAAGAGAGTGCAAAATCAAGTTCTATTGCGGCTTGTTTCACCTTACAAAGCAACCAATTCTGAATAAAATGCGTAAAAATAAATCAAATCAACGGATTTTCTTCTAAAAGAACCGGAAGAATTATTATTACCATATTTTTGCAATACGTTTGTTTTTAATATTATGTTTCGACGTAATATTATGTTTTCGTATCTCACTTCAAAGGATTAATGCGACAATCATTTTAATGAAATTTCTGCCCGGAACGGTAATTTTTTGTCCTTTGAGATCATCAGTCGCTCGGCGGGCGCATCAAAATTCAATTAATCGATCAAACGTGCGTGTGTACGTGCCCGCGGGCTCTCGAGCGACAGATAAAATAAACGCGGCGCAGAGGAAGTTGTGGAGAGGTTTCCGGGTTAATTAGTCTGTCAATGTGCCCGCTCGCTCTGCACGGGACAATATGCAGAGCGGAGGGAGAGGAGAAAAAAGGAGAAAAAAAAGAGCGGGATGGTTTGATTCGACAGCGATCGCGTCCCTTTCGAGCGGCGTGATATATATCGTGCTGTCTGCTGCTACTGTCGTGCGCCGCGCAACCAGATATCTGCATCTTGTTCCGTTGTTTCACGTTTACGTCACGCGCATGCATTCGCAGATGCCCGAGTGCGTCAAATCTATCCGTGACACCGCGGGGTTTTTTCCAATTTTTCAGTCGGATCGAGAGCGCGATATTAGCATGTCGCACGACTCGCCACAGGTTAAAAAATAGGTTCTCGCGGTATTTAATCACTTACTCCCCGGCGCCGACTATATCGAATTCAACGTTATTTTTTTTCCGAAACAATTTCACACGCATGCAGATTTCCGTCCACTTGGAATATCGACTTTGTTTAAAAAAAAAACTTCTACCGTTTCGCTTTGGCGTTACGTCAAATAAAAGTAAGATCGATTAATTAACTCACGGTAGATGTTTGTAATTACCTCTTAATAGTTCGGAGCGGATAAAAAAAAGAACTGGTTAAGATATGACGTAAAATTAATTGACAAAATTGGAAATCGATATAAACGTTGCAGCACTTGGCTACATTTATATCTATTTAAATGCAGAAACTTCACGAAGTAATGTTTCGCCCCTCTCATTTTAATCTTAGATTTGTAAGGCTAAATCGCATTTTGTTTATTAATCTTGTTCTGGTAAATCCAGTCCTGCAATTATCCGACATTTGTACCGTAAAGATTTCGAAGCCGCTTACCGAGATACTCGCGCCTGAAACCACCGCTCGCGTTTCAACTTTTTCACTAAACGGATTTCGCAACGCCATGACTGACTAATAAAACCTCGCGGCAAAAACCGCGATCATACGGGTATCTTGCAAATAAGATTCGTGCTTTCTGCACAAACGCGATATTTTCCCCAAATTACGTATTATTGCCGTTGCAATGATTCCATTGGGAGCTAATCAGGCGATGTAGAGCTTTCAATATGTGCGTTTGTCGGACACATTGATTATATTATTAATTTATTATAGTTGGAAGAACAAATGTTTAAGATGTAACAGTATAGTTGAAAAAACAAATCTTCAAAATATAACGGTATTGTTTTAAAGAAAGTTTCAGAGATTCACCCATTAAATTTTGACACAAATTATTGAGTGGAAAAAAGTATCAACAACAAATGCTTTTATAGCAAAATCGGATTAAAAGTTAAATTAAAAAGTCTACCGAGATAATAAGGAAACGGTGGAAATTTTGTTACTAAAAATATACCGTTCTGCAAAAACGAAGCATGAGTTGCAGGAATGCGTTCGCGTTAATGTTGAACAGAAGCTATTGACTTGAACACCGACAACTGTATTTCGTTTACTAGATTTCATTAATCCAGCGGTATAGACCGTGCAAACAGTTCTACTGTGTCTGCTGTAGCTACGCGCAACTGTAAGGCGCGCCGTAAAGTAAAACCAATACGGTCCCGACATTCTCAGTTAATCGCGCCGAGCCATCCCCGACGTCGTTAAGTCAATACTCGATCCTACGGCTCTATAAGATAGTAATTAACAACTCCTATAGTACGGTTATAAACGATACACACCTAAGATATGTTAGTAACGCTTCTGTAACGAAGTAATTAACGTCCAGAAACGTAAATAAATTCTGGAATTTATACGTGATATATGGAATAATCGTACAGGGATATCAGATTGGATAATTTTTTTTCATAAATAATTGAATATTGTAATTAACGATTACGATTTCGTTTATCTAAAAACAGTAGCGCTTCTAGCAATCCGTAAGTCCGACATTTTTCGTAATTTTTCGTAATTGCCAGAATATATCGGATTTTCACAAGAGAGCACGTCAATACGCAATTATCGCTCCGTTTCCAATTGCGTTTTCAATATACAATTATCGCTGCGTTTTCAATTGGAAGTAATAAAATTCGAATGCTACACCTGCAGAGAATCCATCAAATTTCACCGATGACGTTGTCAGAGAAGAAGAGAAAAGCAGTTTTCCTAACGATATGTCGGATAATGAAGCAATTTACGAAGCGATTAATGACAGATGAGAAGTTGATGGCAAAATTAATATAGAACGGCGTTCGAAATTCGAGAGGATGCCGGACAGGAACTCGCTCAGGGTTCATCGAGAGTTAACTACGGATCAGAGTACCCGTTCCCGACGGGTTTCGCGGTCGACGTCATAAACGTGCAATATGATGATTAAGACATGTGGGCGAAGTCGTTATCCACGCTACACGGGGGGCTGGCATGCACGCGGGGAGAATCGGCGAGATCGCGCCGCTCGTTTTCGACGGCGATGTGCTTTAATGACGTTACGAGCCCTCGGCGGGAGGGAGGAAAGGGGGGTGACCACGGCTGTTGACCCATTTTGGCCTTTGCGTACTCGGCCCGCAACAAAGTTGCGGCCACCGGCGTGTCGCCGCGTCCGTCCGATGCAGCAACTTCGCCGCGTATTATCGCAATAAGAACTTCGTTGGCTCCTGGCTCGTTCCCCGCAATCCGTCCGTTCCTGTTCATGCATATATATATACAAATCCGGCGGAGCCTCCCCCGATCGGATTTCACGACCGGACGTCCGAGCGGACGGGGGGGGAGAAACACGGAGAGGTTCTCAAAATTTACTTCACCTTAAAATTGGAAAACGCAATTATCCGCCGGTCGTAAAGGCGATTCGGCTCGTGGATTCGACGCGGGAGCGCGCGGGAGGCTGGCCGCGAGGGTGAGATGAAGGACGAATCTTCGGTGTCGCGTTTGGGAGTTTAAGATAGTCCGACGAGATTTCCCGGTTCATAAAAAAAGAAGCAAGAGATGGACTGTGAATGTAGGATTTTTCATTCGTATATATTTCGACGTGTACTATGACAAATGGCGCTAGCATTAATGGGAGAATGGACTCGAGATGGTCTTACTTCTCAGAAATCTCTTCTATTTCGACGTCTATTATCGGAGCAGATCGCCCCTTAATACCGTACCTTGCTTCGAGCGGAATCAATTATCTTCGAGTCTGAGAGCTTGTCACTTGATTGCGTAACAAGCGATAATAGCCTCCGTATTGATATTCATCGGCGAGTACTCCGGACTCCGTAATAATACGCTGGTCGCGCAATTAATGCCTGATTAATTAGGCATCAATTAAATTAACAATTAAATGTATGTATATAATAGAACGTACAATAACTCTAATAGAACCGTCTGCGCTCGAACCAAGACCATGTTGTGCGTACATATATCTCTTAAATATTAAAAAAAAAAATTATTTCCATCGTTTATAACGACGCGAAAGGAACTGATTCACAATTGCAGTCATCTCGATTAAATACAATAAACTGTAATCTCATACTCATCTGCTTCGTGTGAAATATCGCAACATATCTTTTCGTTAATCCAATTATGGCCAATTTCTCGAATCGTCATTGCGAAAATAACAAACAAATTTTCGCACACTTGCGAACTTTGAGAGACGCTCGATACGGAGCGAAGAATTTCGTATGCTTTCAATTTCAATTTCCTTCTCGGATGTCTCTTTCTCGCGCTCGAGAACCGACTCTACTCGGTAAGCTCGTCTTTCTCTCTCGCGAAATAGAAACTTGCGGAGGAGGCTAGTTCCGCGGACGCCGTCGATCGAGAGCGATACCTCATCGATGGAGGAGGAAGGTTTCCCGCGCGCGCAATCACACGCGCAACAGCGTGTCATTGTCATTGATGTCGAGCAACGGTCGATGATTGCCGCTGACGTTGCCGGGTGCCGCCGGATTGCCACGATGATCCGTGTAGCGGCCGAGGTCCTGAAGAATACTGTAAGAGGGGCGTCGTAGTAGTTGTTATCGCCTAGAGGCACGGAAGTCGGCACTAGGCTATGCGAGAGTGACCACCCCCTCCGGCTCGGGAGACCAGCAATTATCGGACAGCCAGCAGCCGATCACCACGGTGAAGAAGCCGATCAGCAGCGCGACGATGATGTAGATCTCCGCCTGTCCTAGCGAATCTGTTCACACACACACGGGATACACATCGCCTCGTGAAACATCCTCCGAAACACCCTCTGAAACATGTTCTATGGAGACGTGCGTGCGGTCAAGAGGAGATAATTAAACGTCTAACAGCTGCGGGGCTGAAAGGTCGCGTGCATGCTTGTGGGAGGGATCACCGGTGCACACGTCGCTTAGATGCTAATGCATGCTTGTTGCTTCAAGCCCTTCAGATATAATTTGTTATCTCGAGTGCGCGTATACGGCGCAATTGAATTATAATTGTATCAGACGTTACACACCGCTTGGGGAAACCGCGCGCGACGGAGTTGTGCGCGAAATCAAGCCAGGATCAAATGCGTAAAGGTATAGTGGAAAAAAAGTCAGAGCTCGAAAATAGAAGTAAAGGCTGAAAATCGTCTTTGGATACAATCGATTCGACGCGGTGGATACATTTTTCACATTAATCCATCCAGGAGAGCAAGTTAGTTATTTTAGTCAGAAAACTCGGCTAACTGTACTAGCATATCGGTCAGCAATATTTAGAAGTTTCAATTGAAGTGTTCGACTATCACTAATTGATTGTTTGACTGGCGGCAGATTGCAAATTCGTCGATAACTCGATAAAATCGAAATTCCAACATTATACCATAAAATTATATTCCAACGTATGTCGTAATTTATGCAGCATATAAAATACAGTTGTAGATATCATTGATTTCTCTAACAGTGTTATAATGTAAAGAAAAAAGAAAATGATTTTATATAAAATAAAAAATATTACCCTTATTTCAATATTTTTAACAAATTATAATTTCATAAATATTTCCATAATGGCGATTACGGAATTTACTTCACATTCCTATTCAATATCAGCGACTAATTTAAGAATAAATAAAAAGATGCAAGCAACTTGTGAATGCAAGTTCGACATAAAAATTAATTATTTATGTCAATCGATCTAACATTTAGAAGATATGTATAAATTCACATGCTACAAGCAGACGGTGATAAAGAATTAATGTTGTATTATATATATTTATTCTTTTTTTTTTTTTCCAAAAATCAACTTCAGATGTCAAGGAACTTTGCGGTTAAGTAGAGAGCCCTAATCTGCGATGAAAATCCGAAATTTCCAAAGCGAGACTCTTCCCGACCAGAGTCGTATTTGAAAGTTAAAACGCAGACTCGAGGCAGCGGAGAGCAAAACGACAGCGGTTTCGTTTGTTCGATTCATGAATTTTTCACAGCCATCGCCATTATTATCCCCTACACCGGGTTTCGGGTTTACATCGATGCCCCTGAATGACTGTTACCGGTGGCAGCGGAAAAACAAAGCGCATCGCGCCGTCACGCAATGTTCACTCGCGATAAAATGGCGATAAAAAGATCTCCGATGAAATTCACACACAAACGCGTCGCAAATTAACTAGACTCTAATCCGATTTACTGAACGACTCTCTCTCTGTCTCTCTCTCTCTTTCCTCTTCTGCCCGAGCTTCCGTTGCGATAACTTAATTGAACTCATACAGCGCGGCAATTAAGGGGATACGAACCGAACTTCCAACGATGGATATACGTATTGCAGTCCGTAACGCGTAAGTCTAAATTCGAAAAGTTTCGCTTCAAGAACAGGAAGAATTGCCATATGAGCTTATGAGACATGACTTGGGATTTCGGTAATTTTACTGACATGTACGAAAATTTTCTTACAGTGGCATTCAAGCGTGTATACGTAACCGCGGGCGCGGGCAAACGATCTTCCATAAAATTGCAACGCCACACGGCCGCACGGTCGTGCTTTATGGTTCGACTATCGTGATATGAGATTTCGTGGCAGATGCTGTTACGCCGAGATGGTAAACCGAAAAAAAGTTTCCTCAACAAATTGCGGCCACGAACACCGAACTGATGCGCCGGAAGTCGACGAGCATATGATATAAATTTCATCCGCGCATGTCAACGTCGCGTGCGCGGGCGTGCAATTTAAACTGACGTGGTGTTTTCACAAACAAAATATTCACAGGTGTGAATTATTTGAGATTAATGGCATTTACGGCTTATGAGTATTTATATATATATATATATATATATATAGTTTTAAATGTATGACGAATTAAAAATTGACCGCGTGTGGCAAGGAAAACTGCCTACTAGATTTAACAATAGGATATATTCATGCAATGTTTTAATTATAGAGCAGACGAAAATAGAGAGTGCGATTATAAAATAAGCTCATAAACGTTCCTATAAATAATCATATATAAAATGCAAATAATGTGGGGATAATTAGCAACAAAAAAAGATTATAAATTTCATGTCTACAAGCCAAAACGGAAATAAAAGGGAAATGAAGACTTTACAATCTTCTATGAAGAAAGAAGAAAGACATGAAGAGTCCACGTGCACTAACGATTCCCGAAGTCTCTTCGATAAATTCTTGTCTAACGAGAAAAGCATCGGCGACTTAAGGGGTTCCATCACGCAATATTGTACCGTTCACAAGCACAAACGTTTACACACGATGCAACAATGTAAATCACGAGCAGGGAAGAAGACTGGCGTAAATTCCGTTACCTAGAGGACCCTTTGACTTCCACAGGCCCTTGATGAGAGTGGGATCGCCGCGACGCCAATCGCGCCATCCTCGACCTCGACGCTGCGGGGTCCCTTTGGGATTGGCCCAGCCCGTTGTACCGGTCCCGGAAGCTGCGGCACCGCCGCCGGCTCCACCGCCGGTCGACCCTCCAGTAACACCGACACCGAAAGTGGCAGCTCCGACAGCGCCGGTGGAGAAACCGGTAGCACCACCGCCACCACCGCTACCACCGCCGCCGCCGCCGCTGCCGCTTCCGGCAGCACCACCGGTAGAACCACCGCCGCCGGGGCCCGGGGTGCTCGGCGACGAACCGGCCTGCGGTTGACCGTGGCTCCCAGCACTTCCACTCTGTGGCACCGGCGCTCCCGCCGCTTTTTCGTCCCGGCCCCGAAAGTTCCCAGGAAGCAGCATGAAATGGACACAGTAGGGCGTGCGCCGTTAAACTATCGATTCGCGCATTCGATTGATCAATGGGGAAGGGGAGGGAGGAGGTTTCATGGTGGATTGTGCACTCTCTTTCTCCGATTCGTCTATCCTTCGCTTAGCTAACGAAAATCATTCGGAATAATTGCTGCTATTATAATCATTATTAAGGGGATGGTGTTTGATAATCGAACTTTACTCTTTTATCTACTTAAACTTTTCGGAAGACAAACTGCAAGATCGAGCGAAGAAAACTTGTGTGGTTCTGCGATTACTATCCCTGATTTGAGTTTTAATCTTAAGTGATAGTTATAATTTTTTCAGCAATATTTACAGTAAGTGAAACTGTTCCATTCAACAAATCGATCTATCCAAAATTGACGAAGCGTGTTCGTGCGCGCAAGTGTAAGATAAGTCTCATTAGAATGCCGAGAGAATCGATCTTAGCGTTAGATATGCGAAGGAGCGGTGTAATGGAGCAGAAGATATCCATGCATGAAGGATTTTTCTGGTAGGTGAATATGCAAAGAGATCGGAGAATCGTATAAACTGCTTCACCAAGTTCGTGACACAATAGATTTCCATTAATATTTCATCGATTATTCTCGCATTAATTGGCGACAATCGTAATCAATAGGCGGCAGTTTCAATAACAGCGAATCGAAATGTAAAAGTATCAAAGTGATATTTTCCTCTCTGTATCTCGGCAGGGGGGGAGATATCTCTCTCGCAACTAATGCATATACTTAAGGACTCGAGAGGATTTCAATCCGCTGTTGGGTCAAGGGGTTGACATTGATGTAAATGGATTGACGGCCAATTTACAGGGATGAACGATGGAATCGCATTTTCGGCAGCACTCAACGCGAACGGACGATGACGATTGCAGCAAACGATAAAAAGATAAAAATAAATCGAAATTCTATAATTGCAAATATAATTTTATCGAACGTATCAAACTGTTGCAATTACGCAGTTATTAATTACACAGCTCCAATTGCACAATTAATATAATATACTTATCAAACGATAATTATATTCGTCATTATCTCCGAGTAATATTGCAATTAAATTCTGAATTATACAAATTTGTAAAGGGATAATTATTTGTTCTCTCCTTGGGATATTTACTCCTTTATACTCTCGAATGAGCGTGATGAATTTGTCGTCGAGGAAAAAGACGACGAAATTCATGTCTGCAATATTCCCGACGACGCACGCATGCGCGCCTATTATTTTAATTAAAAGAGTTCCTTCGCGTTAAATTTTCTCTCAAACAATACATAAAATCGACAAATAACATGATATCAGAAAAATGAGAAAAAAAGGAAATTTTTATTCTGTATTGCGTTTTTTGCGTATGTCCTTAATCATGTATCGAAACATTTACGAGTAAATATCAATTGCAATTAAAACTGTAAAACAATATCAGAATTTGTGTTTCGCTGTACTAATATTAATTGAGAACAAAGGTTTTCTCCATAAAACGAGATTTGCTAGAGAAAAATGTTACAAATGCCAATTTTTATCCGTTCAATAATTCTGTTTCTTTGAATGCGACAATATCGAGGTTCACCGGCTACAAAACTTGTTGCGTCCTTTTTGTAAAGCGAATTTAGCGAACCGTGCCTTTCGAATGCGAAACAGAAGATAGATATTCAGATTTACCTACATGAATAATCAGAAATTCATAACAGAATTTCAACGCACAAATATAGAAACAAATTTTTCGTAATTATTGAACTATTCATTGCTTGTCAATTATATGTGCATACATATTGTGTATATTAAATTCCTACATTGTATTATTTTACAATCATTATGTACCTCAAAATACCTAATATAAAAATTATACGTAAGAGTTAAGACTCTTTGACTAAAATAAATATTTAAAAAATCTAATAATATACATAGTACAATTAGGCAGGTCTTTTTTAAATTTAAGAGAAATGTGTAAAATATACGTATTGTATATGTAGTCGCACAAAAATGGTCCAATCCATTTTTCGGAAAATATGATCACAAACTATAAGTGCCATTATACATCACCAAATTTATTTCAAAATTGCATTTTATGTCCCACTTATTGTGAACGAATATCAGGCAAGCATCACGATCGCGATAGAATTAAAAAGGATTAAAAATTCCAATTCACGTCGTGCTAATATTGTCGTTAAACTTGCTTGAAAACAATTTTAACTTTTTATTATTATAATATCATTTCACAGCTAAATGCATTTTTCATTATTCCGAGTCTACTTATAGTACTTCTCAAAAAATTTAAGTACATAGGTATATATGTCTGTATTTTAAGAGCGCGCCGAAGATTTAATTACAATACAAATTTAAAATGAAAGATGAATCAACGATTATCAAGTGCCATTTTCGTCGCATGCATAGAGTGCCAAGAGTGTCGGGAGGGCTCTCTTTCCTTTGAACGTAACATAAAAAGTTAATCAGATTTACCGTCAGATTTGCGAAAAATGTGATTGACGGTTTCGCAGCATCCTTAATGCAAAATCGTGTTAGCGGCATGAAGAATGCAAATTTTACGAAGGGAACTTCTTTTTTCACTATTCTACGTCGGTAATATCGAGTAATCTGCATATGCAGATTAAAATTTGGATCGTCGCGGTGCGAGAAATAACGCTAGAAGTCTAACGACGAGTGAAAAATCGATAAATTTAAACGAAGTATAATTTAGGATCAACCTGCGGCAATCTGTATCGAGATTGGGTCGGAGTTATTAAATCCGCACAGTGACCAATTTTGTTTTAACCAATCATCACGGAAATTGTTTTTCCCATACAAGATACCAATGCCACTGTTTTCGGTGGCGTTTGACTTTTTGATTACGTAATATCAAACAATTATGAACAAATTGGAGGTTTTATAATGCCTTGTGATTTAAAAAATTAATACGCGTTACTAACTGCGAATCTCGCTTGATCAAATATTAGGCGCGAAATTATACATTAATGCGCGAAAATCTGTTAAAAGTGATATAAACAGCTTTTTTCTAATAAATTATACAAACTACAAAATATCATATATATATACAATATATATATACATTTTATAATAATATATTTGTATATGTTTCATTAAGACGCTTGGAAATATATCTTATATGTAAGCAATTGCAGAAACAATATCCTAGTATATGATTCTTCTATCTGAAGAATCTAAATCGTACTTTTTCAATACTTACCGCATAAAGAGAGCAACAAAATACTGGCGAGGAAGAACCACCCCATACTTCATCAACAGGTCGTTCCGTGAGAAACCGTGCTACATCGTTGAACTGCACGCGTACGTCGAAATCGTCAGTGGCTAGTGTTGCACATTGGAATGAAGATCCTTAGAAAAAAAAAGATAAAATTCCATATTACAAAAGATATATGTTTGAAACAAAATAGAAAATAAGCTTTCAAGAATAATTAAATATCAGGATAGTAACGCAAAATGTATAACAAATCATTAAGATCAGAAAGCACGGTACAAAGCGGATCTTGGTGCTTCCATAATATTCTAAAGTGTAAATCTTATACAATTCTCGGTTCAAGTAAGTCCGACAATATGCGGCGCGCGATTTATTTGAACCGAGAATTGTAAGATTCGCACTTTAGAATATTATGAAAGCATCATAAAGACCCGCTTTGTGCCGTGTTAGCGTTTTCCGATCTTAATTGTTTTTTCAAGAATATTTTTATTCCAAATTTACTTTTTACTGGCAAAGTTGAAAGTGGCCGGAGATTAAAGTGGAAAAGTTGTAGGCTGTATAGCGTCAGTTTTGATGCAGTTAATATCAGTATATCAATATCTCAGATACATCAACGATGCATCATTCGTAATAAAGAAACACGAGATTTGTAAATTCAAAATTTATGCATGTTATGCCAAGGAGTGCCGTGATATAATAATAATTGTTTCGGAACTTTAGCTATTCCCTTTAATTTAACAATTCCCTTTAAAATGTCGGCCCGCCCGCATTATAAAACGTCATCAGTTATGATCGCATCAGCATGCAGCATGCGGAGCTTTTCCATAAGTCGGCCGCGCGCACGCGCCTGCATGTGCACAGGTTAACTACTGCGGAAGGTCGAAAATTTCCCCCGTATCGGGTGGATTGCATCCGCGGAGGCATACGAATAATTGAAACGACCCACGTCGGGAGGCGGCCGCGCCGCAAAACGCGCGCGGGCATCCGCCGTCCTATACGTATAATCGCGCCGGCGAATAATGTATAAATTCGCTTTCGAGAGCGAGTCGCGCAGCACCCCCCGACATTTCCGTAAACCAGTAAATGGCTTATGCATGAGCGCGTCAGTATGAATCCCGGCTTGGCTGCGGGCAAGATTATATTCCTGTCCGCGAAACACCGCGGAAACGTCGCGCGGCCCGATATGTAAAATTGCGAATTACGCCGTGGATTCGTATCGCGCGACTCGATATTATCGAGCCGGAACCGCTCACGCGTATTATTGCCCGACCGTTAATTTCGCAATACATTGTTTATCGGCTAGAAATGGTCTCTTTAAACTTTCATATAATCCCATCGTCAAAATCTGGTTTAATTGAAATGACTTTCCGACACTGGCAGCGCTCGGACAACAGTTATTACTGTAGCTTTTGTCGCTGCAGTATTTTTCAAATCGCGAAAAATGGAAGGGGTATTTTATGATGGAAATATATCAATTTCGAGGAGCCTATCAAACGGGACGGTTTCACTAATAAATCTCAAGGAACTATTAATTTATCATATAATAATAGCGGCAATAAATTGCAGTGGGAAAATATGTATACGCACATTTGGCACACACATATATATATATATGTATACATTATACGGCGCATTATTCATCATGTAAATAAAATACAGGCAGAGTTAATCTGGCGCTTGAATTCATTCATTCGATTCCACATTAATTCAGCACATGAAATTGTAAGAGATTATTATCTGTAATAGTTAATAGAATTCTGCGTGACAATTTATTGAGTAATTCAACGCGTTGTGTTATTCAATCTAATACGTACACAGCCAATAATCCTCTCTATTTGGCATATGTCTAATTAATTTTGCACAATTCAATTCATAAATATACAATCTTCCGTTATAAATCTTTTTCTCAGCATAAGAAAAATATTTGCAATTAACACGCTAACCAGAGTCGTCGTCAGTTATATTGAAGAAGCAATTTGGGAAGAAAACGGCTAATTGCAAAATTGTGTTTCCTGGAATTTAATTTGTGACATTTTCAAAATTAAATTTTAATCACGCGCGGTGGAGCAATTTGTGCTGGCTGGCCCAACTCCGTTCTAGAAGTACACTTTCGTTTGTTCACGCGTTCACATGAAGTGCATGTATATGTTAGGTGCGTACATATGTACCGCGCGTGTGATTTTGAGTAGAAACTTGTCGACGTTTCGGCACAAAAAGATTCCATTCATCGCGGTTTCAAAAAAAAACTCCTTCGTCGATCCGAATCGCTACTGCGACATTGAAGCCAGAGAAGATAGACGAGAGTATAAAAGCACGGATCTCTTTATGTCAGAATGTATCACAAGCTGGGGTACTCCAGAGATTCTTATAGCGTTTTCAGACGGTTTGATCGTTCCGAGAGCGATTAATGACGTCAATGATGTCACAGAGGAGGACGAGTATGTGACGTTATTAATCGCTATCGGAACGATCAAACCCGCCCAAAAAACGCTATCACATTAAAATTAATTATATAATTACTATTTACAATTAATTAGTCGTGCTATCGGAATTAGAAAAAAATCAAATTTATATTTTTTCAATGAAATAAAACACGTTTTTTTCTAATGTTTTTTTTCTAATAAAAACGTGTTTTATTTCATTGAAAAAATACAAATTTTATTTTTTTCTAATTCCAATAGCAGGACTAATTAATTGTAAATAGTAATTATATAATTTAATTAATTTTAATGTGATCTACATTTTACTTTTACAAAAAAAGAATCTTTTTCTAAAAAGAATTTTTTTTCTAAACAGCTTTTTCTTAAGTTGAAATTATTGTATTATTCATTGAAGTCCTTGCTTCAAAATATGTTTCAAAATCAATATATTGGCTTTCTCGTTCTGCATAAAGATTGAAATGATGATAATTTAAATATCTATAAAATAAAAAATCATAAAAAATTAACTTAAGCAAAATATAGATATTAAATAGATGCCCACTAAACATTTTGACCATTACGTTGTCGAAACGTCATATTAACATCTCGGGTAACATTACTTAAATGTCCTGCCTCTAGAACGTTTCAGAAAAAAGTTTTATTTGTAACGTTATTACAATATATAAGTAATGTAACAATCGATAATGACATACTCCTGTTACGTTGCAAAAATATCACAAATAAAACGTTCCTTTGAACCGTCGTAGAGGTAGGACATTTGCTGTCGCCGAGATACTAGTATAACGTTTCAACAACGTACTACTCAGTGAGAAATGATTATCAATTAGACGTCGAATCGATGTCGAATTAATGTCGAAATCATCGTATCGATGTCGATTCGACATCAATTCATTGAGTCATTTCTCGCTGGGTAATGGTCAAAATATGAGTGGCTAAAAAAACAAAATTTTGAGGAAAAAACGAGGTTTACGAAAACGAGATATTTTATGAAAAAAAAACTATCTGGTTTTTTTCTGACACGTAAATCCGTGCTTCTATACTCGTCTATCTTCCCTGTTAAAGCGGTGCGAGTCTCGAATCAAAGGATCCGAAGATTACCTCGAAAGACGCTCAGCCGGGTGCGACGTAATCGGGATCGTCATTGTCCGCGTTGTCGACGAAATCACGCCAAGTTCCGATTTCGCGAGTCTCGTCGCGACCGCACGAGATCTCGGCTGCACGCGTACGCGCGAAACGAATCGCCGCCGGACGACCATAGTCGCGCCGAACTAACTATCGTCGTCCCACTGATCCTGTGATGTATATATCAGAGATCAGTGTAGGTCCGTATTTGACTCGTCCGTGTAGGTCCGTATTTGAGATTCGCAAAATTCCGCCGCGCGCCGGGACTGAAAACTGAATCTGAACCCACGTACAGCACGCACGCTCGGACGCATTGCTCGCTTCAGGCGATTGGAACAAGCGCGCCGCGAGTGTAGGACACTGGCGCACTCTAAGGGCGGTGCCCCACTTTCGGACGTACCAAGCGAAAAAAAAAAAAGACATGAGTTATCCTTTGTTGCTCCGTGAAACTTTTTTTCCCCGATTCGTAAACGAATGATTTCGATCTCACGTTTAACAAGATCTTTTATAGATTTTATCGATTGGACGGAATATTAAATGAAATCCTTGAGATCCGATTCTCTTGAGACAATATTTTATAAATATATTAGATCGAGCTACGAATAATGCCGCTCTACAAGCACCACCTGGTGAGGATCGCCAGGAGGATCGATTTCAGTCGGTCGGTGGAACCGCACGCGTCCACGTGAGACGTGAGTCACGTGTGTGAATCAGTGGAGTACCTTGCCTGCAGGCAGAGCAAGACTTCGGCGCGTTTACTTAATCGATGACATAACGATCGCGGTGGCGGCGTCGTGTCGTTCCCGCGCATTGTTCGGGGCCCGGCTTGGGTTCAATTCGAAACGTGGAGGCGCACCTGCGACGGCCGCTGCGGACAGTTCGTCTTTCGACGTTTATCCGGAGGAGGATCCGCGGGGGAGACTCGAGTTCACGGCGATAACGAATCCTCCACACCGTGCGTATCGATCGCGTCGATCGAGTCCAACGATAAGAGACAATGGCAGGTCGAAAGCGACGGAGTGACATCGATCGGCTCTCCGAGTTGATGAGAAGCCAGCAGAAATCCTTGCAATGCACCATTTGGTGAGTTTCCGCGTGTTCGCGATTAGCGCTGAAACGCGAACGGATCCATCCCCCCCGGTACTCGCGCGGTCGAACCTGTTATTTTCGTGCGTAATGACCGGGGCGAATATAGGTTAGGATTCGAGCGCGGTGCAACAAGTGTCCAGTGGTATCTCGTAGTCATGAATCATGCCGGGAGCACAGTTGACAGTTTTCGCTGATTCTACATCGAGAATTGTTATACAATATAATTTAAACTCCGCTTGAAGTGTCGAGCTCGCTTGTAGATTTTTTTTTATCCTATAAATAGGCTAGAGAAAGAAATATAGATAAAGAAATGTGTGAAACTAATTATTATACTGCGCTATTTGAGCAATATATGTGTAGCTAATTACGTTTCAAGCAGTCAATCATTTATAAATTAGAGATTTGAGTCAGTTTCCTCCGACTGGCGTTTCTGAATAATTGCTACTTTATATTGTTTCAGCCTGGATCTCATGACGGATCTTAGCAAGACTCCCTTGTAGATTTTTTTTATCCTATAAATAGGCTAGAGAAAGAAATATAGACAAAGAAATATGTGTGAAACTTATACTACGTTATTTGAGCAATATATGTGTAGCTAATTACGTATCAAGCAGTCAATCATTTATAAATTAGAGATTTGAGTCAGTTTCCTCCGACTGGCGTTTCTGAATAATTGCTACTTTATATTGTTTCAGCCTGGAGCTCATGACGGATCTTAGCAAGACTCCCTTGTAGATTTTTTTTATCCTATAAATAGGCTAGAGAAAGAAATATAGATAAAGAAATGTGTGAAACTTATTATACTGTGCTATTTGAGCAATATATGTGTAGCTAATTACGTTTCAAGCAGTCAATCATTTATAAATTAGAGATTTGAGTCAGTTTCCTCCGACTGGCGTTTCTGAGTAGTGGTTACTTTATATTGTTTCAGCCTGGAGCTTATGACGGATCCTAGCAAGACACGATGCGGCCACTCGTTTTGCAGGTGCTGCATAGGAAAGGTCCTGCAGAGCAAGGACGCGCATTGCCCACTGTGTAAGAAGAGCCTCAACAGACGCAACATTTCCAGGGACGATGATATGCAGATCTACATCGAGAAGTTCAATAAACTTGTCACCGCCATCGAGATGGACACTCACATCGACAGTGAGTGCATTCCAGAAATTCTCACACTTTAATTTAATTTAATTTACTCACTTTTCCATGAATTGATCGATTTTCAATTGTATCCAGATTAATGCGATATAAATCAATCTGGAATGTCATCAATTAATCGCACTCGGAGGATAAAAATGTAAAGAGCACGTAGAGAGGGAACGATTCCTCTTGGGGAAACGACTCCTGGTGTTACCCAGAACGTTACGTTGGGGGAATCATTACCGCAGCGGATAATAATCGTAATTTTCCGCGCACAACTATTGATCCGCGATCCGCTATTGTGTTATTCAACCGAAAGCGAGAAGTTAAAAGCACAGGGCGCGGTAGATGCCCAGGTCGTAAAAGTACATTAAGTGAGGTCAGCCCTACGTTCCTCCGACGGCGCGCGCGGGACGGCGGAGGTCTGAAAAATTTAATTCTCGATACTCCTGGGTGCCTCGATTCAACGCTATACGTTTTAGAGAGCTCAATGTTTTATGAGGCCCTGGAGTTTGGATATCACGTACCTTCCACCCGACGTTATTCAGTTCCCTCGCATTGAATATTCGAGATGTCCTTACTATAGATTTTCTCCTCGGCCGTATTTTGCGTTTTTTTTTTTTTCACCATAAACGTCACACTCAACACGCGATATATACGTTAATTATATTTTGTCGACTCGCGAAAGATACATTTGGTAAAAACGAAAAATAATGAATCGTAAACCGACCATGTGAAAAATCAAACCGTGTTTTATTGTAAAAATGAAAATATATATCAAAATATTGGTATAAATATATTTGTACGAGAGTGGATATAGCCTGGCCGCACTTCGTGACTTCGTGTTTAATTCTATTGCGATTTTATTTTAAAATAAACATAGGCAATAGATTGAAATGTATCGTGTTTTATGGAAACTGCGCTCCTCTGAATGATTATTCGTATCCTGCCGCACGATAATTCCATCGACGCGCCAGGCATTAGCGTCGTAATGCGTTCTGATATTATCAAGATTACTTTATTTTTATTACAGCTTTCCGCACGAAAATTGAATGAGATAATCGCATACAAGATATATTAAGATTATGCATAAGTTTCTATTACAATTTTTTATTAATTGCATTCTCTTTTGAGAATTTTTAATCACATAGATTAAACACTGCATATTTTAAGGAAATCAATAATGCCGTTTTAAATTATATGTAATTATTTTTTTAATGTATGTATCAATTTATATACAAATCAATACATACATTTAAAAGATAATCATTAATTATAAATATAATTATTATATAATTATCGAACAATCGTATTCAACTATTGTTCGAGACGTAATAAATGTGATCGGAAAATTGATCTGCTTACTCATATTGTTAGATGTAAGAATATACTTCTATCAGTATCAGCAAATAAAACGGGACGATATCCGCGATAAAGCTTCGATAATATCTATGTTACAGTACTGTGGCACTCGAAGCGACCGCGCGATACGAAGGAAAGCTCCTCTTATCCGAACGCTGGACAATCCAGCCAAGAAGGCAATAAAGAAAAGCCGTCTGAGAAAGAGAGGTCTGCCTGCCGATTGCGTCAAAACGCGAACAGACAAACGCGAATCGACAGACCGTCGACAAGCCGAGTAACAAGGATTGAATACAACAAGAGTGACGAGGATTCGGACGTCTCGATCGGCACGTTCAATCCGCCGTTCGAATCGACCGTGTCGCTCGAGAAGACTGAAACTTTATCGAGCCTCTCCCGTGCACTTCCCGACGACGATGAGACTCGCGTTACATCGGATATCAAAATTCGCACGTGGCTACACTCGGTACCCGACAAGTCGGACAGCGACACTTTGATGACCGACGAGGAAAACGAAGCGCCGTCGATCGGAGACAGAGCTAAGCCGACGAATCCAATATCCGTCGACGACGCTGGTAAATCAAACGAGATCGGCGAGGTGTATCGCGACAGAAGGATCGACGCAGCAAGTCGCAGGCCGAGGCGAGATAGAAAACCGAGCGCAGATTGCCCGGAGCGCGTCGACGACGAGGACGCCACGTCGTCCCAGGTGAATAAAGGGGCGAGGCAGATTGGCGAGGTAATAGAGATCGATTCCGACGAAGAAAAGAGAAAATGGAAATACAAGTCGCACGCCAGAATACCCGCGATGGAGAGCCGTGAGAAGAATGCGAGATCACGGTCGGTTATTGACTTGAAGGCGGTCAATCAAAGTGGCTCGTCATCGAGCGCAGCGCACGGTCAGGAGCATCGAGCTGCGACGTCTACGTCGTGTTCGGATAGAGCGAGCACATCCGCGATCACCGAGCAGGCCACCGCGGACTGGTCCCGCGTGATCGAGTTTGGGAAGGAGATGAAACGCGCGAGAAAGAGAAAGGTGAAGAAGCTGAACGTGAGCGTCGAGAAAACCAAGATCTCGCCGCGGATAGTCGAGAACATTGTGCTGGTGCCGGGTAGCAGATACGATTCGGCTGGAATTGTAAGCTGCAATAAAAAAAGCGAAAATGTGGCGAATCTGTCTAATCGGCCGGGGTCGGACGGCCGGGACGCGATCGATGAGAGCCTGGATTTATCGGACGCCGCAAAGGCGGAAGCGTCGAGCGAGACGAACATTCGGATGGAATTTGTTGACGAGGATAAGGACGAAAGTTCGAAATCCTGTCCTATGATGAGCACGTCGTATGTCACGCTAGAGGAAGGCAGGCAGATACGGATAATAAATCTGAATAACGAGCAGGTGAACAAAATTCTCGGCCTCGAGAGCGCCGCGGAGGATTCTCAAAACCGACGTTGCCACGAGGACAACGCCGCTGATCACCGTGATTCACCGCTGTCGCGACAAAAAAGATTAAGCGTACTGACGCCGGAGAAGCTCAACGAGTCTGTACACGAGCGCGAAGTAATCCGTGACGTCTCTTCGCAAACTTCCGTCGGCAACTTTGGAAGTTCGTCCCGCCTGTCGGCCGAAAAACGCCCGACTCCCGGACCTCGAGAGGCCAGTAATGTTCGCGGGACATCGAGTGGAGCCGCTTCTTCTCCATTACAATTTTCGACACCGGGCCAATCTAGATTATCCTTGAGAAGAAAGCTGGAGATTGGCAGCGGTGCGGCTTCGCCGCGATTAAGCGACCTTCCGCTGTCGACCAGATTATCGATCGCCAAACACGAGGAGCGCAGGAGCGTCGACTCGCCAGTACTGAAGGACGACGAGCGGTTTGAACGATTGAAAGCTGTGAGACGTGACTTGAAGTTCAAGATAACCCACGAAGATCAACAGCGGACTTGCCGGGATGCGGTACCCGCCAGTGCATCAAAAAGCGTAATCGAAGCCGAAGATAACGACCGAAACGTTTCCGGAATCGACCGTCAGGACAGCGAGCCCGGTCGCGATCTCACTGGCGAGACTTCCACGGTGCCGCCGAAGAAGTCCCCACCGACGAGATCGGAAAGTGTCGCGGGTCGGGAACGTCTCATGAAAATTATACGACTGGGTTCGCTAATCAGGGAGCACCTCCCCAGTGTCAGATATATTTACTTGGGCACGACCAACCGCGAATCGTCGATACCAGCGAAAGTTGAAATCTCCACGGTGTACAATATATTGCAATCGACTGGCGTGTCCGAGGTACGTGTAGCAACGTCCGATCCGTTGAATGATTCGCAGGACTCGTGCAACATCGTGGTGGAGAATACTTGTTTCGCGAGTGAGACGGCGTCGAGAGGGACGGCTTCGAAAGAATTTCCCGCGGCACTGCCGATTCGTGGAGCCTCAGCGACTTCGACGCCGCGAAAAGATGTCGATTCTCATTTAAGCCTGCAGAGCAAGAACGCGACGACTGTACGCTTTTTGACGGACGCGAGTCAACGAACGGATAAGTCTCGGATCGTCGAGAACGTCGCGTCTGAGAGAGGCGCGCGATCTCTTCCTGGTGCATCGTCACGCGCGGACAAGAGCGCGATTCACGGGTCGACGATCTCGCACACTCATCCAGGAACGTCAAATTCTATTAAACTGCTGTCGCCGGACAAAGATTCGCAGCTGAAGTTTTTGCAGATAGACTCCCCCTCGGTGAGCGAGCGCGAGCAGCTGAGACACGCGAGCTCGATTAAGTCCGTTATCAAAGGAAACAACTTTCCCGAGATAAAAAGTTCACGCCTCGCAGCGTCTACGGTGGGCAAGGCGCGGGAGCCTTCCGTCAAGAGCTCCGGTAAGAATAGGAAAAGAATGAGGTCCGCCGGTGACAGAGAGCTATTCGAGGACAGGTCCAGCGATGGAAACGAGAATTCCAGCGACTTGGCTAGTGACAGCAGTCGATCTACGATAAAATTTGGCAGATACAAGGAATTATTGTCCAAGAGCGCGAGTTGGAGTCGTCTGGACGCGAATAAGAAACGTCGTTTGAGTTCCCCGGACGATCGGGATGTCGAGGTAATTCCGTCGACTTCTAAAAAACCGGATGCACCCGAGAGAAAACTCGAGACGTCTAACTCGGACACGAAATCGAAGCCGGCGACGCACATTACGAAATCATTGGAGAGGTATTAATAAAATTATATTTTATTATATATGATCTCTTATATATAAATCAATATTTTATCGAGCACCTTCTCTACTCTCAACGTGCTTCTTTTCCTTTTAACTTTTTTTTGTTATCAATGATTTTATATTTATAGCTTCTATTTTATTTATAATATAAATCTATCATTAGATAAGCTATTGGGGTCACAATTTTTATCTACGTTGGTTCATAATTAACGAATAATGTTTTTCCTGAAGATGAACATTCCTTTTCTTTTCCAAGTACTTTTTGCAACTAATTTGAGCGATTATTATTGCGCGTTGCTGTTCTTACAATTGGACGAAGTAATGCAACAAAGCAAAATATAGTACGCCTCGCATTTAATCTCAGAAAAATACTCTCGTCACCGAAGATACGTCAACTCTCTTATTTACGCCGTTCTCTTTCTTTTTGAAGGCACATCGACCATCGATGTGGCCAGATGCAACACCCACCGATTACGGACAATTTGGAGAGGTATTAATGTGAAATTATATTTTATTACATATGATCCCTTATATAAATCAATATTTTATCGAGCACCTCCTATTTCTCTACTCTCAACGTGCTTCTTTTTCTTTTACCTTTTTTGTTATGGTGATTTTATATTTTATATTTATAGTTTCCATTTTATTTATAATTGCATAAATCTATCGTTAGATATGCTATTGGGGTCACAATTTTTATCTACGCTGGTTCATGATTAACGAATTTTTTTTTTTTTTTTTTTTCCTCCTGAAAATGAACGTGCCCTTTCTTCTTTTCCTTTCCTTTCCCAAGTACTTTCTGCAATTAATTTGAACGATTATTACGCGTTGCTATTATTTCTTACAATTACACGAAGTAATGCAACAAAGCGATATATAGTATTCCGCCTCGCATTTAATCTCAGAAAAGCACCCTTGTCACCGAGGATATAGGTCTCTTATTTACACAGTTTTCTTTCTTTTTGAAAACACAGCGACCGTCAATGTGACCGGATGCAACGGAAAGCATCGATTACGGACGCGGCTGCGAAAGAGGATCCGGCGGAGCGGCGGAGTGACCATCAATGCGCCCGGATGCAACGAAACGCATCGATTACGGACGCGGCTGCGAAACAAGGTCCGGCGGAGCGGGACTCGGAGGACCGTCATATTTGGAATATAATCGACAGATGGACCAACGAGCACAATGCGACGGCGCAAAAAAGGTCGACGCAGGAGGGCAAAAACAGCCAGAGTAGCGTCAAATCAATGAGGAGCGCGCCCGAAGAAAGCTCGGCGAGCCATCAATCGTCCCATTCGCGTAATGCACCGTCCGAGATGGAGAAGCGCAAGAACTCAAAGTCAAGCCAGAAGAGTTCCGCGCGAGACCCGGATATGTTTGAGAGCAGCAGCTTCTTCGATTCGGAAAATGTCGACTATATACTGCGGCAATCGACGACGAGGCCGAAGGAGGATACGTCGAAGAGAATCGAGGACTCCACAAACGACGACATCATAAACAGGGTGCTGGAGATCGATCGATCGCGGGGCAATACCGACGCATGTCGACCGCCGCCGGATTCTGTTCCGCGGAACAACATTACGAGTCAAAGAGAAAAGGACAACGGGGAGCACTTGTTACAGGACAATTTCGACGAGATCATCGCCAGCGTCGAGCAGCCACAAAGCGAGGATTTCATACCTTGCACCGAGCAGCCGGATCGCAATCCCAATCGCCCGTCGGCGAAACAGAAAACGTCGAACTGTCTCGCGATGGCAGATGAATCGTGCGGCGTTATGCAGGAGGAAACTCCGATCGTACCCCCGTCATCGACGAACGATATGTTCGAGCACTATTCGCCTAGGAACATTACGAAACTGCCTCACGAGACAACGAACGCCACCGCAAGATCTCAAGATTCATTCATTTCGAGAAGTTCTGACAAAGAGAACGTTGCCTGCAGTCAGAAGAGACACGGTCACGCGGGTGACCAAAGAGACGGAAAGGACGCAGCGGCAAACGTCGATGCGATTGACAAAGACTCCCGTAAGAGAGTCGTATCGAGGCATAATGTATCGCGAGAGAAAGAAAAAACGTCGTTCGAAGAACGTAATACTTTGATACAATCGGCGGGTCGGCTTCGCGTCGACGACGCGGACGGTGAGACGCAGAGAGCAACAGCTGCTGGCAACGAATCAAATCCCAAGGATGATACCTTCGAGCATGATTCGCTCATGAACATTACGCAGCATCAAATGCAGCTGCAAATGTTTGAGGAGGATCTGTTCAGTGTTGCGGTCCAGAATCGAACGAAAACGAAAATGATCTCGCAGGATGACTCGTTCCGAAAGGAGCAAAGTACTCCAGGAAAGAGAAAGCAGAATAATCAAGATAAAAATACGGAATCAGAGGTGAGTGTTTGCAGTGTTACACGATATCTCATATTTTTATCTATTTTTTTAATTAATTGAAATATTTGTGTTTCTTCAATCTGCAAAAAATTTGTCTTTGATATTCCGAAAAGTAATATTTCTCTATTATGCGCCGATTTCCTACGCAAAAATCTTACGGTTATAACGAATTGAATTTATATCTGCAAGTGTAAAATTTCTACTCTAATATATTCATATAATTATCATGAATCTGCTAACGCGCGCAGGGAGCGCGAGGGAAACGCATCGCAAGCAGGTTTCCTTGGGGTTTATGGAAAAGGAAATTTCTACCTTATCGAAATAATTACGACGCCGCGTAATTAATTTTCTCGCTCGCAGTTTAAAGTTCAAAATTTAATTCGTAATATTAAACGTAGTAATGTAGCGCAAATAAAATGTTTTAAATCCTACTAAATTTTCGCAAACGTCGCAACGGGTTTTTCCAGCCTCTCTTTATGAGCGAGCACTTTACGTCGGTCTTGTGCGGTATTTACAGTAGTTTACATAGAAATAGCAGCGAATGCATTATGGAGTAGCCCGGTATATATATGCATATTGTATATATCATCCTTCACAAGCTCGCGCTACAAAGTGCCCCATTTGTAATCTCATTTAATTCAGTTAGTAATTTATAACGGAATTATGATACGTGTGCGATACATTTGATCCTGCGGCAACAAAAGCTTCCTCGCTGTATAACGATATAATGAGGATCACATAACATTTTTGAACGCAGGAACGCTCCGCCGACGAGGACGACGTTGTGGAGAACACTCCTGAGAGAAAGAGGAGGAAGTGAGTACTCGTACTTTTTAAGCTCTTCTCTCTTACAGTACACTCTTGGTGCTCGTTACACGCCTTTGCTAGTTGGATAATATGTCTCCACGTGGTCATAAATATGATAGTATATGTATACCGTTATGTGATTCACAAAGAAATGAGCGAGAACTGTCTTCTTACTTTTTCGAGCTTTGAATAGTACAAGTCTAAAAAAAAAAAGACGTAGGCAAAAAGCTAAAAATAATAAGGCAGAAATGACGACTTAGTAATGCATGTAAATAACGTGTAAGGAGCTTCTTGAAATGAATATAGTTTGAAATTTTTTATTTTACTCATTCGAGAATTTTTGTTCTACTCATTTATATGTATATTTTTATATAAAATTTTACTTCAAAATAAAATACGAGCAATGGTTTAGAAATCGGTTTACGTTGCTTAAAAAGTCGGAAAGAACAGTCCTGAATTATTCCCTCGTCAGCTCGAGACACGCGCGCGAGATACATTGTCGTAATGTTGCAGCAGCGGAAACACCGTCAAGACGAACGAGTCGAGAGAAAGTACGAAGATACCGTTCTTATCGCCGATCTCGAGGATCAGCGACCGGACACCGAGGAGCGCGTGCCAGATCGTTCATCCCTTCGTGAGGAGTGACGCGAGCACGCCTTCGTTCGCCATGCGTCCGCATAGCACGCCGATAACGCACAATCCCGTCGTGGTGCTCAGTCATGCTGACGTATTGAGGGCGAGCAAGAGGAGCGAGCTTGCGGAAAACAGCAGTGGTGTCTTATTGGCGAAGCAGGTGGACGCGAAGACGCTGGAGAACGTACGCCGGCCGCCGGACAGGCGGAACCTGCGCTTCGTGTGCAGCGGCCTGACCGCGGCCCAGATCGCCACCGTGAAAGAATTCGCGGCGAAGCACAACGCGAATTACGTGAATCAATTCGATCGCGACGTGACGCACGTGATCGTGAAGACCGCCGGCGAGCAGAACGCGGCGAAGAGCACGTTGAAGTACCTGCAGGGTATCGCCCATCGCAAGTGGATAGTCAGCTACAGATGGATCGAGGACTGTGGCAGGCAGCAGCGGCTGCTGGACGAGCTTCCTTACGAGGCCACCTCGCAGAATGACGTCGGCACCAACGGCGCCGGACCTCGTAATTCGAGACTACGCGACAAGGGTCTCTTTGAGGGCTTCACGTTTCTATGCGTCGGACCGTACGACAACGTTTCGCCGAGCCAGTACCAGGTCAGTCTCCTCCCTAGTCGCGCCCTATATACGCGTGTTTCGCCGCCCCCGGTAACGAGAGAGCACGTCGCACATTCCGCATTTCACCCCTCCCCCCCCCTCCCCCAAATAGCCGGGATATTTGCGGGCGCTATTAATTTCTCTTCGAGACGGAGCTTCTTCGTAAAACTGTAATTAAAACCGATTCGTTGTACGTGTCACCGGACCGGAAGGATTTTTATTTTACGCTTCTCCTCCTACGCGACGTTCGGTCGCAGCCGCGCCATTTGAAGTTGGACCCGGTCCAAGCCCATCATGTAAGAATACCTTTGTTCTTTAGGACTTGTTACTCGCCACCGGAGCCTCGGTAGTCGATTCCTTCGACGTCCTCGCTAAGATGGGAGGCATAAAAGGCATCGTGATCCAAGACAAAACTCACGACGACAAAGCAATCAGTAAGTCACAAATAAATGTAATAACCGCGATGCATTCTTATAGAAATATTTTAAAAGATCTGACACGCATATCGATTTGTATATAAATAGAAATACGCGTGAATTTAATTATCGATATTTACACGAATAAGTTTGTAAAAATGTCATGGAGAGAGAAGTACGTATTAAAAAACATTTGCGTTTTGTAATGTTTCTAACAGAACATTGGTATCGAACTGCCAAGGCGGCGCCCATTCTTGTGGATTGGATCGTAGAGTGTATCGGCCACTACAAATTATTTAAGCTCACACCTTACATCATACATCTCTCGCCGCAGGATTTTTGTGCCATCGGCTATCCACAAGAGCTCGTGGAAGAAGATGAGGAGTACAGCGATGACGAATAGAGAGAGCGAGAGAGAGAGAGAGGGGGAGAGAAAAGTAAGAGAATATATATATATTTTTTGTTATTTGTTAATAATCCGTATTCCATTCAGTACTTTCCAATAACATAACGAAACGATTGCAATAATAATCTAACTTACTGTATACGCTGTATATTTACTGTATTACATATACACATGTAAATTCAATTCTTGTTATATTCGATATCTCATATAATATTACCTGTTGTATATGAATTTAATTGTTTCTACTTTTGTATACAGTATATATATATGAACAATCGTTACTAAATAATTGTAATTTATTTTTTCTTTTCTAATAAACTTGTATTCTTACGTATATTCGCTGGAACTCCGTCTCCTTATACTTCCGTACAATTCTCGCACGTTCGCCCGAGATCAACGTCTTCGTCACGTTCGCTTGTACCCGCGTCGCGAAGTTCGCTGTCCGTTTTCCCGAAAACTTCTTCCCGTCTGAAGATCCATCTTACGTAGCATTCCAATTTCCAGCCTCGAGAGTAACCCGAGACCGCGCGGGTAAATGCCGGGTAAAATACCATCTTGAAATATCTGACGCGCCCCTCTCTCTCTCTCTCTCTCTCTCTCGCCCTCGCGGGAGGAAAGTAAAAAAAAAATAAATAAATAAACGAACACGAAATCCATGCGGACGTGATGACAAAAGGACAAGTCTTTCCGGCGATACGACAATGCCGCGTCGCGTCGCCGGGATCGTAAAGTCGTCCGCCTGTCGTGTGGGAGAACGCGCGCGCCTGTCGGGCTGCCGGGTATTCATACACGTATATTCACCCAAACACACGTACCCATATTGATTTGCCCGGGACCACCTGTAGCCAACTCTCATCCGTTCGCCGCACCGCGCCAGCGTTTATGAATCCCGCCCAATTGTGTAACGCAGATAGACGAGAGAGGAAACGAACGCGCGCGCTACGCATTCTCGGTACCCCGATATTAATATCGTGCGGCGATACGCACGTAACCGAAGGGTGAATGAATAGTTCACGAGGGCTCGCGACTGTATAAAGAGCGCGCGTGTTTTCCTCTTGAAAACGTACGTCGGGCTATATACCGTTGCTCTACTGTGTAATCGACCCGCGCGTGATGTATCCGCGCCGAATAACAACTCCCGACGACGTGCGTCGCAAATTTGATGAAAATATATTCCCGATGCATGTTTACCGTCAATGTATATAGCAAATGACTCCACCGCATAGCTTATGAATTATACACGGGCGCGGATGCGGCGTTTAACAATGGCATTCGTGCATCGCGACAGAGAACCGCTTTGTACAGAGCCGCGGTGAATTTTGATTTGCGGCAAGTTGCTCGGGATTTACTCTGTCTCTTCGCCATGTAGAGAGAGAGAGACTCGATTATGGCTACTCCCTTTTGCAACACCATAGCCACGTAGCTACGCGGAGAGGGGGGGTGGGGAAGGAGAGACTGTTAAAGTTCACCATTGTGCGCGGTCCCTATATACTGTTGCCGCGCGTGTTTGCGAATCGCTCTCTCAATTGAACGGAGGATATCGAAGGATTCCATTGTATACTCCACGCGACGCCGCCACACCACTCCCCCGCATGTGTGCGTGATGCACGGTCTCTCTCGCGGGTGGCAAAACAGCGGAACATTATCGCGCCCGTCGAACGGTTCCTTCGTTAAATTGAAATCATCGAACGTGGAGACACTAACGAGAAAAATATGAGCTGCAGCTTCCTTCTGGACGCTAATGGGGAAAAATACGAGCTTCCTAAGACGTATAGAAATTAACGAGAAAAATATGAGCTTCTCTATCTCGCCAGCGGACGCAGCTCTTTTTGATTTTGAAGAACCGATGCATAATCGAAAATATTACGACGTCGAGACTTAACGTTATAACGACTTACTTTCCACGGCTCTTATACGATGCAGCGGATAAAATTGTCTGTCGCGGCGAATGTACGGGGAAACATATAAATAAATCAGTCATCCGCTCGGCTATACTTATGTACACGAGACGAGCGCCCAACCTGGCAATCAAGCACACGCTGATTACACGGGGTCATTAATAATCGCGCTCTGACGGGGGCCATAATAGCGCTCATCAGGTATGCTCACTCCATTGCGCGTTACCGGATCTTCGTGTTATTATGTATCCCGTGTAATAGTAATGTTCACGCGTACGTTACATTTCGTTGCGGTCCGTTACGTGAAACGTACGCGGCAATAGCTGCGGCAATAGCCGGCGCGCGCTTATGAGAGTCCCCGCTTAATCACTCCGGAATCGCAACAAAGTTCCGGCGCTATCCCTACAACAGTCGGAGAGCATTCCATTCGGACGCCACGTTAATTGCGCCGCGCGTTTACCTAAGTGCGTTTAATCCATCAATGCACACGAGACGCGCGCGCGCGTCCGAGCGATCTAAATTCTCGCGCTCGGGAAGGATCTTATTTGGAACTCTTACGGAGATTTCCCCGTAAAATTGTTCTCTTCTCAAAAATATGAATATACTTTTCAGATTCATACATCAAAATTAATATTATGAAAATGGGATATTTTAATCTTTGATCTACGTAAATAACGCTTTTCTCTGATTGCGAAGAAGAAAACGCACGATTATACAACCGTGCGATTGGTTGAAATGGGTTAATGCACGTCCATATCGATGAATGATAGCGGGCCATCAGCGTTCCATTGACCTACGCCTTATACGCTTCGAGACAATACCATTCACCCCTTAATATCGCCAAATTGTCTGGTAAAATTACAATTTACGAAAAGTACGGCAATAACGTTTTATTACTTCGATGAATTACCGCGCGGAGATCGCTGTTTCCCCAGAAGTAGCTCGTCTTCAAGTCAAGAGATCGCAATCGTAAAATGGAGATTCCCTCCTCCCTCCTGCTCAACTTTTTTTTTTCATTTCTCTTATGTCGTAATAAAGAAACACATAAAAATACCTGTGGAGAACGGAATACACGGAGTATTCACCGATCGCATTTCAGCGAAGTGGTATACACCATAGAATTTCAACAATGGAAGTAGAAACGAGATTGTCATTGTTTAAACTTTTTTTATTTTTATTCAACTGGAAACTGAATGTATCGATATTTTGAGTTTTTATCCGAATCATTCTCCGTTATTAAATCAAATTTTAACTAAGTAATTCAAGTTAAATATTTACATTTTCTTTTTTGCGGTTTTATAAACTAAAGTTAATTGAATTCTTTTCAAATATTCCTGTAGATATATGCCTTTAAGTTTTTTAATTACACAAACTCCGCGTACGCTGCAATTAAAAGAATTTAAATTAATTGATAATGCAAAAATTTAATTATAAAAATATTTTTGTATGCTCTTTTTATTTTTGTTTTGTTTTGTTTTTTTTTTAATTCTTTTGTTTACTACTCTTTTTGTAAAAGCACGTTTCAAAATAATTTTAATTAAATTTATAGAATAAGAATTATATTCCATATTGATTTTGAGTGTGCATTTGGATTGCAAATTACAATGTAAAATGTAGTAAATCAGAAATAACAAAGTAATGTCAATGCAAGTCGACATGAGTGCTGGTGTGCATAATAATTTTTTACAATTATTATACACACCAACATCTATCGATCGGCTGGCATTAGTATTACTTTGTTATTTCTGATTTATTCCTGAAAGCCTAATGTCTTTCAATTTAAATTCATAAAATATAATATATATACATGAAATTAAGTATTTGTTTCTTCGTCTCTCATTGACATTTGAACGAATATACCTCGATAATCGGATTGTTAAGAGATCAATATCTGGAAAATATCCAATACTAAATGCGCGCGGAGCCTAATATAAATAACTTAACGAAGTCAGAAATGTTCACGAATGTAATGATCGATATATTGAAACAACTTCAAAAGTTGTATATCAATTAATGAGTTTATTTCATCCGGTAGAAAAAAAAACTCTATCGTTGTTCGATAGTGTTAGCATCACCGGGCAAATATTTTATTTATTTTCAATATCTGAGAACGCACAATGATATATAACGCTTGATATTATCGATTTTATCGCCTCGCGTATTACTCTCCGCGAAAACTTTCGTACGGATCATACGATATAAACTTGTAAAAAAAAATGCCGTCGATAAGCGATAAATAACGAATAGCACGGTCCGCCGCTAAGGCTACCATCTCGCGCGAGCAATTTCACGGAACATCGTGCATGCCCTGCGGACAATAACGGATCGCCACCAGAATACGATGCGGGCGCGAGCCGATACCTTTTATGAGCAATTTCGTGAAAAACTGTCGCTTTTTATCCCCGGTCATCCTTGCGACTATGCAGTTGACAGAGAACGTCGAGGAACGTCAGAGCGCGATGGCGACCGACCGTTCGTCCTTTCGCCGTCACGTCGGTTTTTTCTTTAATTGGCAATAACGTAAAAATCAAACGTCATCGTCACAATAGGCGGTGAAAACTCGAAGCTCGAAAGCCGAAGAATTTCCGAAGGCGCAGATTCCACACTCGCTCGCTTTAGTTTCCCCGTGTCATGTGTCCGACGCTTATCTCAGTAGGAAATTACACATCCCGGGCAATTAACGTCTCGCGAATATCACGAACAGAGAGTTTAAGCGGCGCAAAGTAATACTATCTTAATGCGGAGATCATTTGACAGAATCATGGTTTCATTTGGGGGAAAAAAGCGCATGCAATCTCCTTAAATTGCGACGCACAGAAATTGTGCGACTGAGCTTAACAAGAGTAAATATCTCCAGTTTTTTTTAATTAACGCCGGCTTTTATACTCGTCGGTGTCTTTTAAAATGAAAAATTTTTAATCCTCTCATTTCTATTAATGATTAAAAGAAGATACTCTCATCTTGTGGGAATAATAAGCTAAAATATATTCATATGATGGACCTAAAATTAAATACCGATCTTAAATATCATCTAACATTGGAATATAATTTTGCACTTTGATTAAAGTTATCATAGCTTACTTCCCGATGACAGTAAGGTATTTCAGTTAAATAAACTGATCCTTTTTTTCACCTGACGTTAATGAATATACAAAAGTGTATGCTTGGGAACAACGATTCTAAAGAGAAAGACTATCCACAAGGACTTTTTACTCTGCAAGTAACACCAACTCCTACGCTGTGAAGTGAAACGAAAGAACTTAGAAATATCGTATTTCGAGACTGATGGGGTATCGCTGTCTCTAAAACCCAGAGAGACTAAGAAAAAGGAAGAGAGAAAATCCACATAAAGATCTGAAATTTATTACGTATATAGAATTATTCAGCTAGTAATTTAGTCGGTGATTGCGATTGGTCCAAAATAAGCCAAAGATGA